TTTAGGCCTCGTGCCCGATGCACAAGAAGAGTCTCGATGCCATGAAACCCATCAACGACGCCAAATACCAGAGGCCCGTCGATTCCCAAGCCGCTTCGGGCTGCCCAGTCCCCCACGCCGCCCGTACTGTCACCGAGGAGACGCCCAAATCTCTGATCTCCCAGCTCAATCCTCTCAACTACATGTTCCCCGATCTCTCCCAGAAGCCCGCGCCAAACCAGCAATTCAGTCTACCAACGTCTCGAGATCCGTCGACGATCCCCAAGGGTTCGGGCGACGGGAACTGGGAGTACCCATCCCCACAGCAAATGTACAACGCCCTGCTTCGAAAGGGATACACCGATACCGACATCACAGCCGTTGAGGGCATGGTCTCCGTGCACAACTACCTCAACGAGGGTGCGTGGATGGAGATTCTTGAGTGGGAGCAACGGTTCGGGCGCGGCCTGTACAAGGGATGGCAAATCTGCAAGAGAGGCGAGGACCATGCCGCTGAAGAGCTGGAACGGCATTGGGACTGGGAGGACGCCAAGGCCACACCTACCTTGGTCCGATTCCAGGGTCGTCCTAAAGACATGACTCCCAAAGCCACGATGCTGCAAGTTCTCGGTTGGGTCTATCCCTCTAAGTTTGGGTAAGCATCTCCACCATCTCCGAGTGATGCACTTGGTTTACTAACCAATCATAAAGTGTCGACCCTCCTTTTGACCGACACGACTGGTACGTGTCGCGAGACCTCGATGGCGAAAAGAAGGAGATCCGCTACGTCATCGACTACTACGAAGGAAGTCCCGATCCCTCAGGCGAACCAGTCTTCTACCTCGATGTCCGACCAGCCATGACTCCTCAGGGTGCCGCAGAAAGGATCATTCGGTGGGGTAGCGATGTGTGGTGGAAAGCCAGCGGCGGCGACAGGCGCGAGCAGGACCCATCGCCATTCTTCCGTGGCAGCTCTTAAAATCTTGGATTGTTGAACGTCGCCTTGGATAGGTGCGATTTGCCTTCTCCTCTCTTGCTCTCTACCGTTGGGCTGTATTCTTATTTATAATCACGACTGAACGTCACATGTACGAGTTGGAGGAAGTAGTATGATACTTGCTGTATTGAATCATCCTTTTAAGGACAAACACATCTATTGAAGGGTGACAGCTAGGTCGTTGACCTGATCAATCAGAGCCTGGTCCTCTCCAGCCGCATTCTTGACAACTTTTCCCAACTGGTGCTCAACGTTCATGCCGGGCACGTCAGACACGATGCCTTGGGCCTGCTGGATACGGGTCATCTGGAATTGAATGAAGAACTTGGGCACCTTGATGGCAAGGTTTCCGCCAACGGACCGGATTCCGGCCTCGGTAGCGAGATACACGTTCAGCTGATCCTGGAACTTCTGCAGGTCGTTGTCGGCCAACGGCGAGGTCGTAGCGAACTGGTCCAGGGCGAAGGCCAGGGGTGTCTGGCCGGACTCGGCAAAGTTGATGGACGAGAAGGTGACGCTGGCGGAGCTGACGTCTGGCACGCCCTCAATGGTCGTCTGCGAGGTATCGCAGGTGACGGTGTTCGTGAGCGAGGTGACAATGTCGGCTATCTCGCCAGGGAGGGTCTCGGAGCCGATGACGAAGCAGGCGTTCTGGCGCTGGAACAGTCGGGGAGCTGGTATCGTAAGTCTGTGTACTTGTCTGTTTTCCCATGGGAGACGAACCTGCAATTGCGCTGCCGACAAAAGCGAGAAGGACGGTGGTGGTCTTCATTTTGAACTTGGGTGTTGTAGAAGATGGTCTTGAACAAAGGAGGCGGTTGGAGAGAGTGTGGATGAGCCAAAAAGAGAGAGAAACAATTTCTTTTCCAGAAAGACTATTAGAAGAATGAGAACGAAGGATGACAGACCAATGCGCAGCAAGTGATGGTTCTGTATACTTGATGGAGGGTACAACTGCTCCTTTTATACTGATCACCTCCGATGTCTGATCGTCTGCAAACAACTCCTCATGCTTCAACACACCGCTTCAATACCAAGCCAGCTACTCCGTATCCGTAAAGCCAAGGCAGTGATATCTGACAAATGCCGTCGCGCATGTAGCCAAAGGAGTGCCTGCTGCGGCGGATCTCGTCCCAAGTCATGGGACGGTTTCATGGTGCAGCAGCTGCCATCTCAAGCGCCTCGGCAGTAGCCGAGATTCAGATCCTCCCACGACGGTGGAAGATGGCTATATGCAACTCTGCTATGTCTACAAACTTGGCCGTCGTCCGGTGAGACCTGATACGGATTGTGTAAGAGGGCTCCGTGCTCGGTGGCTGGTTTCCCGATTAGGCAATGTCTCAAACACACAAAGAAACGCTGAACCCTGGCGGCACACGAGACCTCGGCTACGGTGATGACACACGGCGCTTGCCAGATTATCAGAACGCCGTCAATGCGAAAAATGGCAAAGGTTTCTCCCCGTCGCTTCAGTAAGGAGTAGTATTTTTCTTCTCTCTTTTGTTGTTGGTTCCATCACAACATCAAACAGCAGGCTGTTGTTTCTGGGTGGACGAAGTACGCTCAGACGGCCGGAACAACGTAGCTCCCCTCAGCCAATCAACGCTCGCGTGTCACAGAGCTACCACTTTTTTTTCTTAGACCAAGCTGCTTCCGAGGGACCAAGTCCCTGTCCGAGTCTCACAATTTCTCGAAGCGAAGCATCGCCGACGGCGCAAACTGCGTCGCAAATCCACCCGCAACAGTGCTCACTCCGCGATGCCTGCTGATCCTGCGTCGCTGCCGCCCTCTACCTCAACCGGTGACGCCAGCGAGTATACCAGGCTGCACATCAGTCCGCTCGACCCCGAGCTGCTCAAAGTCGCCCTGCCCGCCTCCGTTGCCCCTCACGCCCGCAACGTCTCGTATCACTCGATCGAGACCTTCCCCGAGAAGCGATACGGTTTCGTCGATCTGCCCACCATGGACGCCGAAAAGCTCAAGAAGAAGCTGCACAATTCGGTGCTGAAGGGGAACAAACTGCGTGTCGAGAAGGCACGACCAGAGAAACAGGTAGAGGAGCCGAACGAGGAGCTGGACAAGGCATACGAGGAAGAGGAGGAGAGGAAGCAGAAGAGGAAAGCAAAAAAGTATGCAGATGTGGGGGAGGGCTCCAAGAAGCGGAAGCGCAATCGCGAGGTCGTTGAGGGTGTCGCTCTCACCGACCGCAAGGTCAAGCGAGGCTGGACCGAACCTGCGGACCAACGGAGGAAGAAGAGCAAGAAGGACAAGGAGAGCGACAAGGACGGCAAGACAACCGAGAAGAAGAAGCGCCTAAAGTCCAAGTACACCGACCAAGATGAATGTCTACTCAAGACTACGCTTCCTGCCAACGCCGTCGCAAACGCCACTGGCGACAACGTCCCAAAGAAGCGAAAGAAGAGAAGCAATACCCGAGAGGTGACGGTACACGAGTTCGAGAAGACCACCAGGTTCCCAAGCTTCCTGAAAACTACAGCGCCCGAGTCGCAGTCGAAACCGGCTACTGAGTTCGTTGAAGGCAAGGGATGGGTCGATGAGGATGGTGAGGTGGTTGAGGGCGCTAGGGCCAGACCGCCTCCTAAGCCTGCGGCCCAAAAACCCAAGAAGTCGAAGGTTGTCAAGAAGGTGATCGAGACGCCCGATGACGATGATTCTACGAGCAGCAGTGGCACCAGCAGTAGTGGCACTTCGTCTGATGAGGAATCAGAGGAGGGATCAGAGAAGGACGATAACAAGTCGGTGTCTGGTCGCGACGAAACGCCTGTACAACCCGAGCATGCAACGCCTATTTCGGCTATTAAAGACGAGACTGCGCGGCCCATGTCTTCGAGCTCCTCACGAAGCCTCACCATCAAGATACCCCCTCCCCTCACCCCATCCGCCACAAAGGTTCACCCTCTCGAGGCCCTGTACAAGCGCCCCAAGCCCGATGACGATGGTGCCGAGACTCCTGTTGCCAAGCAGTCCGAGCCCTTCAGCTTCTTCGACGCCGAGGACGAAGAAGAGCCCGAGGTCGATCAGCGCAACCCGCCCATGACGCCCTTCAGCCGTCAAGACTTTGAGTGGCGCAGCACTCGCAGCGCAGCGCCTACGCCCGACACGGCACACCCAACGCGCATGCGCAACTTCTGGAACTCGCAGGGCGACGAGGATGACGCCGAAATGGACGACGACGTCGATGGGCTGGATGGTGTCATGGACGGCGAAGACAGACAGGGTGGAGATGGCGCGCCCCCGGCCGGCTCTACTGAGTTCCAATCCTGGTTCTGGGAGAACAGGCGCGACCTGAATCGGTCGTGGATGAATAGGCGGAAGACGGCGGCCAAGGAGAAGCGGCACCGGGATAACAAGGCGCGGGCTTCCAAGGCGGTATGATGGAGGTGGGAAGTTGGATTTCGAGGATGGGTGGTAATGCTAGAAGCCGAAATATTACGACGATACGTGTTTATCAACAGGTTTCAACTTGCCTTGTGAAGTATGTGTGTGCTTTTAATGTCGGGTTACTGGGTCGTGTCTACGAACATTGCGGCCGTGTGTCGTACCCTATACAAATAATGAAATCTGAGTATTTAACAACTTTCCGCGTTCAGGTTATATGTATGAAGAGCTTTATTCGTGATGATATAAATTACTTAATTAAAGCCACTGTGTCAACGTCATTACTCGCTAGCTAGTCTATTTCTCTGGTTTGGAGGAATTCTCTCATCAACATTTTCGATTGAGGAGGTCCGACTGAGTAAACGCCAAACGAGGTGGTGCTGGACAAACCAGATGTGCAGTCCAGGGACGTCGTCTAGTATTTTGCGTTGCATACTCGTTTCCGACATATTCTAAAATATTTAATCAATAGCTTCTCCTACGACATGACGGTAGTCTTACTGCTCTATCTATACCTTGTGCGATGTTGTTCCGTCGTGACGATCGCTTTGGACTCGACTATCATCGATCAAGCTCTGCAAAGTGACTTCTACCTGATTAATAGTGCCTTCTTTCACCAATCACAGGGCGTGTGGTCTAGGGGTATGGCGTCCGTTTCGCAGCTTCTTCTCTCTGGTGTACGACTTGTTCTGCACTACTGAAAAGTACTTCGGAAGCTACGGAAGGTCGAGGGTTCAATTCCCTCCTCGTCCAATGTTTTGCCGTTTATTCTCTCATGATATCGCGCAAATCTCTTTTTTTTGGTTTTGCAAGTCCTCCTTCATTCAATACGGCATTCCTAACTCTTTGAATCAAGAAGCGTGGCGGACGATCTGTCAGTGGAAGTTCGACGGCTTACAAAGCTTACCTCGATCTCAGGCAGTATCAAACAATGACATATGCCTCACTCAGCATCTCGGTTATTCAGCCAGCAAACTCTCTAGGTAATCAACATTGATGATTAATAACTAGGAGCTTGAATGCATTCTAATCTTCCTTCTGAGCGACATGATAGGGCATCTTCTGTTATTCATCCTTCACTTTTGGGATTCTGGTCGAGGTGGCGTAAAGAACCAGCGATCTCACATGTGTGTGAGCGATTATCCTCCGAGCATGTTCCCTTTCTGCAGCGGACTACCATCCTGGGTACCGTCGTGGCCTCGTGTGTACTTCCGGTATCTGCTCTCGGCGGCCCTGGTGTCGGATGTTTCACTAGACTTTCTCTTGATCGTGGCTCATTGCGCAGACGATGCTCCTCTAAGTTTGGAGGCCCCGTAGCCTCCTCTGACCCCTTTCGTGAGTGGCGACGATGGAAGATTTTGTGACTTCCTTGTCGAATTTTTTCCATGAAGCTCGGCAAAACCTTGTCTTGAGGGTCTATTGCAGGACCTGTGGAGGCGGGTAGCTGAGAACTTCGACGTCGGTGAGACGCCGACCCGATAGAAGCACCAACTCTTTGCTGAATATCCGGCAGGGGCGACAGCTCTGCTTCCCCGACTGCCTCTGACTGATTTGGATCCGTACAGAATGGGTTCTTCCCGAACATGTCGTGATTGCAGTGGCGTGTCTTCGGGGGCTCTTGGAGAAAGTTCGACGACGGACCAGACACGCTGCCAGACCGAGCGTCAACGCCGCGATGGTAGAGTGTATCAGGAGTAGGCTGCATGAGGTCTTCAATTTCTGCAGGTGGTATGACCCAGTCGTCGGTACACTGACGAGATAGCAGTCGTGGGAACGATGTGAGATCGCTCGTACTCCTGTTTTGTCGAGAGCTGCAGCCGGGAGGAGCTCCTGATAGATGGTCTTGTGTATTATTTGGGGTGGTGTAATGGTTCAATATAAACCTGCCACCTGCGAGAACAGATTGACTCTGGCGATGGCTGGAAGAGTACGTTGTTGAAGCTCGGTGCGTTGGAGAACTGCACTCGGAGACAGTCCGAGAGTAACTGGAGGTATTGCACACCTCGATAGAGTGACCGGGACACTGGGTCAGTGGCCAGGTGATTTGAGCGACACTCTTTCGAGAGATGATGGTCGTCGTGGTCTCGGAGTCCTCACCGCGGATCTTGGTATGGACTTGCAAGTCGCTCGCACTTTGACTGGCGTATGATGTTCTGGGCAAACTGATGGTAGTCGCTGGGTCGGCTAATGTCCCTGGTGGAGGCAAGATCATGTTGGCAAGACCGTCCAGCCGGGGCAAGGAGCGATCTTCGGGCTTGGGGTCGGTGTCCTCCCCTTCCGTGTTGGTAAGGGGCTTGGACTGACGCATTTCCTGAACAACAATGCCCACGACATCTCGGATATCTTTGTTGCCCACAAGAAACATGCTCTTAGTCCCCGGCACATGCTTTCCACCGGCGTCGATGACATGCATATGGTCTCTCATGTGTCTTCGGGCTTCAAGTCGCTCGTTGACTTTCGTCATGATGTTTGGTGGGATTTCGAGACCAATTCCTCCAACATCATCTCCAAGTAGGGAGGATGGTGACTCCACCCCGGGAGTGCAGCTTGTGTCCCTACTGATACGTGCCGACTTGGTAGAGCCTCCAGTTGAGCCAGAACTCATCGCTTGGAAGGTGTTCGAGATGCCCTCCCCGGACTTTGGCGGCCAGAGCATCTCTCGGCTCTTAGAGGCGGAAGCATTGCGATCCTTCCCTGAGCTGCCAATCTCGCAGGACAGCCCTCCCGTTTCGTGAGGAATAAGCGTTATAGGGACTTGGCTGACCTGAAAATCGGTCTTTGTGTGAGTTTCGTCGTCATTCATTCGATACAAGTGAAATGCTGGACCGGTTGAGCGAGGATTGAAGATGTAGTAGGATTCCATTTCCAACAGAGGCAACTCCATTGGTGGTTCGGACGAGTCTGTTGATCCGGCATTCAGATCTCCCGTCTGAAGTGTGTCCCCGCCAGTGGTTGCGACCTTGGACTCGTCATTCCAGCCAGGACGGGAGTGCAAGGTGGACAGGTTGAAGAACCCTTCCCCTGGGGCACGATCGAGACGGCTTTTGGTCAGCTTCTGCGGAGTTTGCAAAGGAGTGAAATCTGGAAAGACCCCAAGGGGAGAATCACCGTCATCCATGGGCTTCTCACTCGGCGTTTCTTGTCGACGAAGAGCAATTGGATCACGGAGTAGTATATCGGGATTGGCGCTGCGAACGGCTCTCACAATCTTGGTGAACTCGGCAACAGCTTCATCCGGGATGCATTGAGGCGTAGTTGTGGTTCTAGTTGCATCACTCAATTTGCGAGGGAAGGGACTTCCTGCGGATGAGTGTTCTCCGGACACGTCTTCACCCTTTCCGGTCTTGCCTCTCGGTGGCTGCGGAAGGCCATCGGTTCCATGAGTCCGCTAGACCAGAGAGCCGGGGTGGCCGGAACAGATGAGGCTGGAGCCTACCAAGTGACTGGGCCCTGGGCGAGTATCGACAGCAGGTTTTCCTGACTCGACTGAATCGTGAACAGGGGATGCGGTAGCTTCCCTTTTCAGCAACTTTGAGCTTGGGCGATGTCTATCCGGGGGATAGAGGACAATCTCGGGTTGGCCAGGAGGGAAGAACGTTGACATCTTTGGGAGACAACGCGCGTCTTCATCGAGTGGAGCATCGAGGCCGCGACTGGAGTGATCTCGCCGCGAAGACATGGCCTCGTTGGGAGCGTGGTTGATTCGGCTTGTAGGATTCGCCCAGATGGACAAAGATAGATTTGATGGAGATTATCGGAATGATGCGGGAGGACTGGATGAAGGGGAAAGTAGGAAGATTTGTGTGGTGAAGGTAAGGTGAAGAAGACGGCCGGCTTAGGTGTAGGTTCTGGGAAGTATGGGAGCTGAACCTCGTGACTTCTTGTTTCAAGTCCAGCCTTCCTTCCTAACTTGGTAGCAGTCACTACCGGGAAGTAGGTGCCTTAGACACTACTTAGTAACTTGGAGAGCCCAGCTTCTTGCCTGGTAAGGCAGTGACTATGATGTATGCTCCCCTCCACTAGTAAGAGCATGGCAATCAATAAGACTGAGTGGTACCGGAAGGTAGGACGAGCTTTTACACATTGTCTTTGATGTTGGCTCACCTTGTTTGATGCCTTCCCGCGCACGACAACCGCTTTCTTGAGACAGGCATGTAAGTATCACGCATTAAGTATCTACCTATCCTTCAGCCTCTTCAACCTCTTCAGCCTCTTCAACTTTCTTCAACCTCTTCAACCTCTTCAACCTCTTCAACCTCTTCATCGTCATCGTGACCCTCCATTTCCGCCTTCCTCTCCCCCCAAAACCCCTTGCCGTAACTCACACAAATCTCCTCGCCCTTCTTAATCCCCCCCTCCGTCCTCGCTCCCTTCCCCTTCTGCTGCTTCCCCTTCCTCTTCTTCCCTCCGCCAACCACCCAAACCCCAACACACAGCTCCCCGAACCGCTCGCACCACACCGTCCGGAACTCGGCGTTGGCCCGCTCCCGCACGCCCCGGAAGTCGTTCACGTACCGGCTCTCGTTGCCCTCGCGCGCCGCGTCCACCGCCGCGTCCGCCCCGCGGTCCAGCCACAGGTCGTAGTCGCTGTCCGCCGCCGACGCCGCCCCCGAGTGCACCCGCCCCAGGTACGGCATGATGAAGCTCCCCGCCGCCATGTTCTGCGCCGCGAAGAGCCCGCATTGCCCGTTGGCCGGGTGCGACGCCGTCGTGATGGGCTGGATCCTGACGAGCGCGCTGGGCGTGGTGATGGCTGACGTCGGGATAATGGCGATGTCCTCGAAGCCTTCGCCGTCTGGGGTGGGCTTGGCCCGTAGCTTCTGCAGGTGAGGTGGTGTGAGACTTTTGTCGTGTAGCGGAACGCGTAAGTACGGGAACGACTCTGGCCAGTTCTTCGGCTTGGACATGACCGTGAATATGCTATAATCTTATGCAATTTTGGTTGTGACGGCAATGTGATTGGAGTTGGGGTTTAACTTGGCTGGCAGCGGGCGAACTAGCATCCATACTGTTGCTGCCGTGAATGGGCCAAAGCATATATACGCATCTCAACTAGTTTCCTGCATTCGAGTTACATGTGGGCCGGCCTGTCATGAACCCTGCTACATTGCTTTCAAAGATAATCACAGCATCACGACAAGACCAGAGACAAATCATTCCCATACACGGTTGCGTTACATCTATCTACGACTATTCTACAATCCTATAACCTCTTTTGCTGCCCCTGCACTCATCCACCATGCCTTAACACGGTCCCAAAGCATCCTTTTTGCGAGCCAAGCACTCCCCCAACACCATTACAAACTCAGATGCTTCCATCTCGTTTCCTTGCCCAATGCATTATCCAGCCTCAATGCTTGTCCTCAGTGGGACATCACTTCCCGATAGCGATCCATGCTTAGATCCACTGAGTATGCCAATAGACGATCTTGTGTCAGTGGTAAATTTAGAATCCTTGATCGAAGCTCAATATCCTGCGTCATGTTAATCTCTGACAATACCCAGCGCATTGTTGATTTCATGCAACATACCTGTTTCTTCCTTGTCGCCTTTAGGATCTCCTTCGCGGTCTCATCCGCCATGTCTGACACGGCAGCATATCTCAAGATCTCCGAGTCCGGCGCATTCTCGTTCATTGCGTGCAGGCCTGCCAGTAACCTCTCGAGAACCGCGGGTGACGCCATCTCACCCTGGTTCCGGCTTTGAAGCAGGTTGAGGAAGAGGCTGTAGATTTCTCCCCCGAGGGACCATTC